TACAAGATATATAGGCAATGCCAGTGAGTGGAACGCGGTCTGAAAGTCACCGTAAACGTGAACACAATCAGTTAAGATCCGAAATGGTTTATTACGTCCTTCCAATGATTGCTGAGCCAGAATCCATCTTCTCGGTTGAAATTGTCTCTGTGTTTGTATATGTGGATCGCCTCATGAACGAATCTCTCATGGTAGCCAGATGGCTTGCAGAGAACCTCTGTCTTGGAGAAGTCAATATCATGTGAGCCCACTAAATTGTAACAGTGATCTGCCACGGCTGAGGTGTTTGTCCTACCATGTTTCAAATCTGCTTTATGTTCACGGATGCGGTCCGAGACCTCTGGGATGAAACCATGTTGCAGGCGCTGGTGGGTTAATTCTAGGAACTTGAATTGTGAGAAGAGACAAGACGTTGGGAAATGAGTGACAAACAGTTACTCACCAGTGACTCACGGCCTACCCGTACCCGGCCGCACCAGGTTCGCAAACGGGTACCCGTACCCGGCCGGGTACGGGTAGCCGGGTATCGGGTAGGGTACGGGTATCGGGTACCCGGTTGCGACCTCTGCTGTGCAGCATGTTATATACCGTACATTGCACACACAGCATTAGGGTACGATATTCTACGTGCGCGTGATGTTTTGCGAGACTGACTTCGTTGAAAAACAAGTTTGTATATGGAGAGAGAGAGAGGCTCCGATGGCGTGTGTTAAACTACAATTTCAATTGTTTGCGTTGCGTTTACTGGGTGTATTCAGATGACTTCTGTAACTTCTCCACTGTGCCGTTGCATTTCATGCCTAAGAGTGTTGCATTGTTTTTTGGCATCGTGGGTGAGGAATTTGTATATTTCAAGGCAATGTTTGCGTCGTGTCGCCGACGCTAAAATCACAGCGGCAGCTGCCGAGATTACACCTAACGTCTGTGGTTAATTGGCATTAATTAGCGTTAATTAGCATACGCAGATGGGTTTCGACGGTAACCGCCGATGCGTTCCACCATCGCGGCCCAAGTTTGGACTCATTTGTTTTTTCGGGATCTTGGCTCGGATCAAAACTTACAGCTGGTGAATTATTCCTGAGATGGCTCTTAAACGGGCATTACAAACTCCTAATTAGCATATGCAAATAATAAATATCAACTGAAAACAAAACACGAGGGCTCCTTTTGAGTGGTCGGCTATTGGTTAAAACAAGAAAAACCTTGGACGCAGATTTTCCTGATGGCTATGTTGGCAAAATCTGTAGTGGAAGGAAAAAAAAACTCAAATAACAAATTAAAACCCGCGACTAATAAAGCATTAATTACCGTATACGAATGACACGTGGCCTTTAACGCCAGGGGGCTCGATATGTTGGTATCAGGATAAGGCACGGCCCACTCGTTTGCAACGCAAAAGTTACGATCAAGCCGATTAAAGTGGAAGGCGTGTTTAATGGGCATTAATTAGTGCTCATTTGCATATGCAGATTACAGACACGTTAATGTAACAAAGTCGTTGGCTTCGTTTTTATGCCTCCCAACACTGTTACGGGGTCTTCCTATAAATTTTCCCTATAAATGCTCGACTCAAATGAGCCAGGTTTGGTTCATATTTCTCCCAGAGGAGAGAGAAAAGGGGAAAAAAAACACGCGTGCAGTTGGTGGGAGTTTATATATCTCTGTGAATTTACAAGCCCTGTGAGTGCAGTGTGAGGATGTGGGGGGTAGGGGGGGGTCACCGTGGTTGAGCGTGTCACACCACGACAACAAAGCTTGTGGAGCCCGAGTTCAGTTCCCCCTGGTCGGTCACGACTGACACCATCATCATCGACGTCGTCATCATCATCATCATGGGTGGTGAGCGATTGATATCTGAGCTGAGCCTCCGCTACACTGACCAGCGTGGTGAAGTATGGTCAAACAGCCCCCCCCGACAAGATGCGGCATGACTTTCACCGAGGTGGTGGATGACTAAAAGACTGAGAAATAATATATATTTTTGTATTAATGTTCAGCATGAGGATAATAGTACTGTAATACGTTTGCATTTTTGTTTTACGGGAAAGAACAACCTATTTTGCGGTGGCAAAGCCATTCTCAGGAGGTAATAAAATTACTTTTCAAGATGCGCACAGCCTCACCACATCACACAGATATCGCTGGCATCATCTCGCGCGGCACGTGCCCAACAAACCAGAGAGGCAGACCACAGATTGTCCAGCTATTACATTTCTCAGGGCAATATTCTTCTGCCATCACTCACACCGTGGGATCCACATCACAGTGTCACGACTTCCGGGTGCTGAACGAATACATTACAAGGCCGAATTCATCGCACACACACAAAGTGCTTGCCACACATGAACAACAACACTTTGGCAGATCTCGGCATGGAGCATAAACCAGCACGCGAAACGTCGGTCACTCTGGCAGCAGCGGCTTTTTTGCGTGGCCATCGAACAAATATGGTCACCGCATCGCGCGTCGCTTTTAGATGCGCTTCTGCGGCCGTCTGGAACGCTCTTCCTTCCAATATTAGGAATCCACTTTAAAATCGAGATGGAAAACTAATTTCTTTAGAACTGATTGTTGTTGTCTTTCGTTTGTTGTCCTTCCCCCTGCACCTCCGACTAGCACGGTTGGCGACGTACGGTGCAAACAAAGTTCAACATGCGACTTCCATTGCCAAGCGAAGGAGTTCCCACCAGGCATCAGCTACGCCGAGCTGCAAGAGGCAGCCGTGGCAGCGAGGAATGCGATTAGCGATATACAGATGGGTTGACGGTTACATCGACAGGTTTGAGTAATTGTGGATTATTTGGCTTCAGCTCTCAATCTATAGAGCCAACGTTTCCTCTCTCTCCCTCTCTCTCTTCCTCCGCAAGCAAACGGCGTCACTGCCCTGGCTCTCCGATGTGGTTTTCGAGTCGTTACCACGTGCTGTTCACGAGGTTCTTCAGACACTAAAGACAGTTCGCGAAGAAGAACGTCAGACACTCAAAACCGTTCCCGATGAAGATGTAATTCCCTGTAGAAGCCCCCCCCCCCCCATCAGCGCGTGCAGCGAAACGTCGGACATCGCGCAGAACTAAAAAAACACCCGAGAAACGCATCATGGGGAGCGCTGTTACATCACGACCGCTGAACCCTACACAGCAGCAACAGGAGCACTGTCATCACTATGTCTCCGTCGCAGTAACTTCCAAGTCTGCACTTCCCTGCAGCGGAGCAGAACAAAGAAATAAAAACTAGAATTATTGTCGCCCGCGGTGGCCGTGGGCTCAGTGGTTACAGAAGCAGCGGGGTGCCCCCCACCCCGCCCCTATCCAACCTCGGGACGTGTCACGCAGCGCGGAAGGAGTGGCCGGTGATGGAAGCGATGCCGCTCATCGATTGCTCAAGACGAGCGGCACCACCCCCGCCCGGCGAGGTGCCACCAACGCGACCTCGAGCACAGGGAGCGCGTTCCTCCGTTGTGGCGGCTGCCGTCTTTGCTTCTGAGATTTGCCGCGCGCTTGCGTCTGCTGGGCACGCGCGTCTCACGTGGAGGAGCAAGGGGTGGGGGGCGGGGAGGCTCGCGAACGACGTTGCCGTGTGTTGACGGACAGCTGGGGAGGGAGGAACGGAGGGATGGAGGCTACCTTCCCGCAATGAGAGTCGGGGGAAGGTTGCGGAGCATCGGGCGGATAAATCTCGGAAAATTGACGCGGTGGAGAACGCAGGCGGGGGGGCATCTGCCATTATCCACCTCCTCTAATGACCCATAAGGAGCCGGGGCGTGGACGCCGAGCTTCTGCCAGTGAGCAGTCTGCCGACTCCGGGGTGGTGCGGGTTCGCTCTTCTCGTTGGCGAGCTGCCGTGTATGGTCGCGATTGTGGTCGCCGCGGTGTGACGGCAGGACGATGTGACGATGTGATGACATGACGATATGACGATGTGATGATGGAAGATCCACGCTAAAATGCCACCGTCCGTTCGGGAAAATGCCGTCACGTCGCGATTACTATCGCTTGTTAATCGAGGGGGGTAAACAAGCTCGCATCTCTTTCATTTCCTTGACTAAATAATTGTGAAACAACAACAAGAAAGTGCACGATAATCCTTACAGTTGTGTAAAGTGGTTGCTATTAACTTAGTGCTTTGTAAAATGTTGTCTGGAGTAACTGATGGCACGTTGGTTATATGATCTGGTCATTTTACGACAGCGTGTATTTTATGAGCATTAAATATTGTAGAGTTATAGCGCTTAGGTTTAAGTCGACTGTGCCGTGGTCGAATGGCTCTTCATCTCTATTCGTACTTAAAGTGCATCAAAGCACAGGAACAAGACTATAAAAATGTGAAATACACCACATTACGGGAAACTGATGAGACGATAATAGCATGAAAGCAAACTGACGGCATATCACGCGGTAACATTTACTGACGTATAAAATGCTATCGTGTCAAGCCTAGTAGTGATGTAAGACACATATTATAAATGCACACTTTTCTAACATCGAGCATAATACAACTCCAAACACGGTCAAAATAACGCAAATCGTTAATAACACATCAGCCTAAATAGTAAAAATATACATAATAGGCGACGTTTCAGGCAATGGCCCTTCTTAATAGCACACCCTTTACGTACCATGAAGGGCAATTTCCCAAGGCGTCGTCTGTGATATATATATATTCCTGTTAAGGCAGCAATGTTAGATTATTGTGTCGAGTCTTTTGTTTATTGTGCTCGTGCACCACTGCCAACACAGCCACAACAGCAGCACGACCAAATAATGCGTGTAACCGTAGCAGAAAACCAAAGAGAAGAACACCCTCGTCTCAACGTGCACCTAGCCTGGCACAGGTACTTTGGTGATGTCGCCTGCAGCGCCCCACGCGAACGGCTGGATGGTAGCTGTTGTGGGTTTGAGAGAGTCCGAGAGAAAGAGAGAGCGAGAGAGAACACGTGTGTGCACGTGTGCACGTGTGTGTGCGCGCGTGTGCGCGTGTGTGCATATGCGCGTGCGTCCTACCGCTCAGCCACGCGGCACGGGGATCACGTGCCACGAAGTCTTCGCTGAAGATGTCCTGCAGAGTGATCTTGGCGTGGATCAAACTCGGGTCTTCATCTGCAACACGCACGAACACAAAGGAGAGCATCGAATAGATCAATTTCATTTTCTTTTTTTGCTCAGTCAATGCGAATCTAAATTCACCGGAAGAAAAACTTTTCTCGAGTGTCATTGATGGGTCGCGTAAAAACAAAACAAAATAGACCGAACATTTTTCACATTACAAAAAATTACATTTCCCGTAGAGCAAACAGCCTTGCATCTTGAGAATGAGAACATTACAAACTATATGGATTCAGAGTTTTGTTCACATCATAACATTGGCGATTGGCACCCAGGGATGTGTCATCACATGTACATTTTTTGTTGTTGCCAATATTGCCCAAATACTTACTCGCGTTATATCTGGGCGTTAGCTGGCTGTGCGGTAAACTCCACACAGATTGATTTGAGGGCTTTTGCACTTTGCTTGCAAACATGTGATGTGTCCACACGCGGATCGTTTATCGGCTCCTTTTAAAGTCCAGCAAGGCTCCGTATACACATTGACCAATTATTGACCAGCGGTAGGGTGAGCGGCGGATTAACTCAGACAATCATCTTTATCGGGGTCAATAAAATGAAGCTCCATTTTGTGAGCAAGTCAACAGCAGTGGTCCTATGGATAAACTCGGCCCCACCATAGGAATGTGGAACTTCCACCACTGGCTCACGATTGAAAGCAGGGGCATGAGCATCAATTCCTCAATGGTGATTAGGGTAGAAAGAAAAAACACACACACACACTCCTGTTCTGATATTGACCAGCATAGTGAAGTATTGTAACCGACCGGCACGACGTGCAAGCAGCCATGATCCATCAGAGAATTTGCCATGAGGATGACAACGATCATCATCATCATCGTAGATAATGGCCAACTGGGGAATACGATCGCTCAGCCGACCCATTGCTCCCTCCACCCCCATTTGTGTCCCTCGTCCACGGCTCCTTGTCCACAACATTAAACTCGGGATGGCGTCCAGAGGCCACGTAACGTCAATCAATACCTTTATTATTCATACCAAAATGAACCATCCCCCCCATTGCAGCAGACGTATCCAAACCCCCCGGGATGGATGACCTTCTGGGTATTTTGCACACGTAACGATGTAGGGTCACGGGCCAGTCCCATATGAAATGTACTTCCCCAAAGTGAAAATAGGAATACAAATGTTTCCACACAAACCGCCATGCAATACATGCGAAATAAAAATATAACACCCACGACATTTCGCAGTAAGACAATATAAAATACAAACAGTGTATTGCATTCAAGATTATGCCCAATGAAACTGTGTAATAAACGCTGAAAATTCATATATGTATATAAAAAAAGAAAAATAACGGTACCGTATGGAAATGTCTTCACAATAAGCAATACAATAGGCAATATATAGAAGTAATGTTTACCAATAAACAATATACATAGACTAGGAATGCGCGCCAATGTTTGACAATAAATCACACGACACACACCATAAAACCATTAAATACTTGAAAAAGCCTGATATTTCACAATAAAATGCCACATTCAATAAAATACAATAAACACTGCACCGTGAACTTTTACATTGACCAATGTGAAATCGAGACGGAAAAACTTAGAACAATAAAAACCAAGTTGATTTACCACAGGGTCATGAAATGAGCTCAGGTTTACGAGGCTGACAATTCTCCAGAGTGTATCTTTTATTCATGGGGTAGGTAACAATGTTCTGGTCAAATGTATGGCATGAGACCCTCCACCACTCGATGTAACCGGACAGATGAAACTGTCACCTCTACGATGCACAAAAATGTAGCGAACTTTCGCAGCAATTATAATCGTGGCACTTCTCTTGAAAACTGTGCCCAAGCATCTGTAAAGGAGAGCCGACACAAGATTGCAGGGGTTTCGTCTTTAAATCCTTTTCTCCCATCCATACCTGTCCCCAGCCGTCCCAATCTTGTTCCCACCAAAGGCCCCCTCTTCCCCGCCCGTTCTCCCCTTATATCTACTCGATTATCCCTCCCACTAACCCTCCTATTGGTGGGAATCCTTCCCCTGACACCCCTACACATCTATGGGACAAGTCAGAATTACAAAAATATATTGTGCCATATCATTACGTACCCCTCACACACAAAAAAAACAATTAAGAATCGTAAATATTGGTTGCAAAAATAGTTGTTATGTTAACTCAATGGGCGCCACGGGGGAGAAATGTTAAAGTCCTCGCCTGGTATGCAGGAGCTCGTGGGTTCGCTCCCAACCGTTGCCACTTGGATTTTTCTCCAGGCCATCCAATTTTTCCCCTCCACATTTAGAATCAACATGCATTTAAAGTATTTGTCTGCGATACATTTCCACTTGACAAGCCACTTCGTTGAGCTGTCTTTTGTGGCCAGGTCGCTTCTGAAACAATATAGCTCAGTGGGACTTCATAATCAACGTTTTTGGGTTTAGATCGCGCTATTTATAAATGTGTCGAAACCCTCCACCACCCGACACGGCCAATCAGTAAAAAAGTGTCACGTTGACAAAGGACAATTAGTTCACTGCTTTAGCCCACCGGTGTGTTGAAGCGTGAAACCACAACATTTACAATTTGAGTACGACGTTTCGCTGGTAATTGCATCCAGCATCATCGGGCAATTCGCCAGAATGGTGAGGCTCTGCTCTGTCTCCCGTTCTTATATAGAGCAAAAGCCTACGTGTTAATCAGTGGGACTTACCTGGTGAATGAAAAAAATAGTTTAGAAGTAAAACTCAGAGTTGTGATGCACAAACATTTACCCCCCCCCCCCCGCAATTATAATTTTAAGTGATATGACAGACAACGTATGGCCAAGGAGATGTCGATGTAGTAACGCGAGATGAGATGAGAGAGATGCAGACAGGATAGAGACGTAGCAAGATGACAGAAATGTGACATGAAGGGTGGTTTAGCGATTAGTTACAAGCTCAGATTTAACTTGGGACATTTATTATTCAGATGTCAATTTGAGCTGATATGTTGGTAGGTGGGTGGCTCAGGTATGGAAGTGCTGAGCTGGCACTGCCGAGACGATGGGTTTGAATCCAGGCAGTTAAGATTGTGATTAAAATCAGCTTCTCACGTTTTTAAAAGTTGATGGTTTCAGCGAGAGCTCCGAGTACGGCACAAAAAAGAAAATCCATCAAAACCATTTTGGGGTTTCCACTTAAAGTTGCCTGAACTGCAGTTCTGAGAATGTTAAATATCGGGCTGGCCGTCGTGTGCCGGGACATTGCTGATATCGTTGGACCAGAAGTCACTTGAAGGGCTCTAGAGGAGGTAGTCTCTGCGACTCCGCAGAAAGATCGGTAGCACGAAGATGAACGCTGCTCCGAGGAGATTCCGAATGGATGTTTCCTTTCATGACAATATATCGATAGCAGACGCCGGATTTAAATGGTCAAAAAAGATGTAATCAAACAGATTCTAATTTAAAAGAATACTCTTCATGTGCATTCTAAACTTTCTCGTTGTCCTCCATTGCATGCCTCAGCCGGCTTGCTTAATAAGCTGACAAAATGGAAAATAAGCAAAAGAAATGCAAATAAACATCGGTAATTACATACTTTGGTGTATTCATTAGTACGTGTTGTGTTTTTGTATTTGCCGTGGTGATAATTGGAATGGATTAATTTCGTAACTAATTGATAAACGGCCTTCATGCCATTATTGTTTACACAGAACATAACGCGGAGAGCCAGAAAATTGCTCAAATTACAAACGTGGAGGCGAACATATTTCGCATTCGCCACTCTCTTAACGAGGGGGTGAACATGAGCGCCAGAAACGCACCATTCTTAAAAAAAAACCCCGGCGTGTTTGAATTACCCTTTTGCGGAACTTTTTTTTTATATAACAACAACAGCTTTTCTTTCAATCCTCCATGGAAAGTTAAACAATGATTAAAGCAGCCGTCGGTTTGATTAGAAAAATAACTATTTTAGAAACCAACTAAATAAATTCATACTGTAGAAAATAAACCAAAAGGGGCCATTAATGCCTTTCTTGACAGCGGAACGGAAAAGGCAAAATAAGATTTAACGACTCGCCGTCATCCAGCAATTACATGTAAATTGAACATTTCCCAAGTGTTAATTCACAACCACCGTGAACATAACGGGAGCATTATTTGCACATCGTAAAAAATGCTGACATTATTATCAACTACAATCATAATAATTTATGCTGCCCCGATGCAATCCGGAGGTCACCAGTTTGATATGAACTCCCGGACTTGGCAGTTCAAATAAATGGTGCAAGCTGCTCAAATCCTCCCATCGCCGCGGTCCGACTGGCACGTTGTGTTCGGTGGGGTAAAGGTCCTCCCACCTCTTCTCGGTTCTTTTGGTAAAGTCACGTAGAAGGGAAATAATGAAATAATAAAAATAAAACGTAATAAAATATTTTATTTTTATTATTTATTATTTCCCTTCTACGTGACTTTACCGAAAGAACCAAGAAGATGAATCCCTGCAGTCACGAAAGCTTTAAATCGAAAGTCCTCCCACCTCTTCCAAATAAATTTGGGGCCGGCGTGGAAGGAGGAAGTCAAATACTCCCTCAAAGGGCTCTCTAGAACTCCCACTACACATTGAAATAGCATCCAAAATTTGGCATGAAAAATATGAAAATCTAATATTTGAAAACAAAATCAGTATACTGGATATTTCCATATATTTATATAAATCCCATACTGGCTTCTGTGGGAAAAAAAGTTCACTTTTCATTGTACAAGGTGCAGACAGACAGCCACACTATGAACTTAATAATTCACCTCACTCCATCCACTTAAAATCTGTCCATCGGAAGAAAGTAACCCGCACGTTACTCAAATTGTGATTACACACAAGACAGCAGCGATATCGAATCCCAACTCTTGCAACATCGTGACAGGACCCTCCTTAAAAACATACGATCTTGAGACTCGGTGAGACTTCCTCAGGCAAAGCAGCAACACAAAAAATATAAATATGTTTGAACCAAAGGCTACATTCGGGGCA